CAGGTTGGGGAAGACTGGATTAGTACTCGCGGCTAGGCTTTGCAAGGCAGGAGGTCTCAGACCCCAGCAGCTCCAGCCAAAAAGCATGGTCAGTGCCAATGAATTTTCCACTTAGCTCTTTTGACAGCTAAACGCCAGAGACTATAAAACCAGAAAAATAAAAGCGCACCTCTTCTAAGGCAATGGACTGAAGACCTAACAGCGCAGCTGCCATACAAGCACCACTCCCAAACAGGCATTTGGTCTGTCTTTATTGAAGTCCATGTACATTTGATATATTCAGACACTTATATCTATATGGATATTTGCTTATATATAATTACCATGCTTTCATTTTTTATTTAGATATTATCTTATTCTGGTGAAATTCACAATTTAACATTGATTGGGAAAAAGTCCAGCCAGAAAGAATTCCAGACTCCTGTCCAAGCTGCTGGAGAGCCGCCAACAGCCCAAGTGGCCAATCCCAGGCTAGGCAAACCCTGATCTCACCAATGCAAGGCTGCACCGCCCGTTATGAGCTCATAAAATAAGCCAGCAAAACCGGGACACCCATGGCATCACTTGGGCCTCATTGGTAGGAGGAACCCCCTCCACCACCTTAAAATTAAGCACTGTATTTTAAATCTGAACAAAGCTTCGTTGAGAACCCCTAAAAACTTACGTTACTTATCTGCACAAAATGTAAAATATCTAGGATAACTTGAGACTGGATTAAAGTGGCTGCCTCCTTCCTCTCCCCTGGGTATAGCTCTGCAGCTGAGGCTTGGCTCTATAAATTAAAAGCGACTTCTCAAACCGGATTTGCCATGCAGCTTGGAATTTTCCTATGATTGAATTATTTAATTACCCTGCTTTTGTTGCCAAGTGTATAATTTCATGCTCTTTTTTTTGGCCATTTATGTAACAATCCAAAGTGAATGCATTGCTAATCAGTTTTATTATACTTCTGATACTATCCGTAGGGAGGTCCATATATCATCAACAACTGCATGTTACTGATCTTCTGAGCCAGTGACAAGGCAGCTAAAGAAATGCAAGGTGGGTCGTAGCTCCTGTTCCTCCTTAACTAATCTGTTACCTCTTAAAAGATTACATTAAAGAAACGCTTTGAAGATCAAAATATGAAGGAAACAATCCCAGAACAAAGACGAACCGACACACCACCCAGTAAGATACCTTTAGACCTTTTCTATAAATATTTACATGTTCCCTTCAGTGCAGCTATGCCAAAGACCAGCATGAACTATTCTTCCTCTTGATGATTGTTTGTGGCGTAGGTCATGGAGACTACGTTTCCTAGGAAATCAGCCTCTGATTGCACTCACACATGCTTTGCCTGGAACCAGAGTTGTGAGCTAAGCAAGAGCCAAACCACATTTACATTTTGAATACTGAGCAGCACAGGAGAGAAAAATTAGCAGAGCAAGCCTACCAGTTGCGTTGGGTTGTTCTGACATTAGAGCCTCCAAAGAATTTCTGGCAAGGTAATAGAGTAGGCAGTGCCATGTTTTGATTCTCTATTTTAATCCCTGGACTGTGATGGCATTGTATTTTTAACAAAGTTCCACCCCTAACCTTCCCTGGAAGGGAACTAACCTATGCCAGCATCATAGACTGGCACAGTTTTATTTCTTTCTCCCCCACTCCGCAAGTATCCGAAAAGAATAATTGTAAATAACTTATAGCACTGGCCACCTCTCATTTTTGATTTTGTGATTTCATTAGGTAGGGATATTAGCTGTAGGATTTTTGTGGACACAGCAAGCCACTTACTTCCCAGATGCTATCTGGACTGTCCCATTGCTCTGAAGATAAGGGTCTAGTTCTTGTAGAATTTATTCCCAAGGGAAAACAACAGCCACAAGAGCACAGTACATGGCAGCACTGCTTTCTGTGGAGAATGCCTCAGAATTCCTCAAATGCGTTCAATCAAATGCCTGGGATGGAAAGACCCCTCCCCAACCCCTTCTCGGTCCTGCAGGACCTAAGCAACATGGATGCCACTCCAACGTAAAACAAATAAGACTTAGGAGCTTTTCAGGTGCAGCAACAGCCATGCAAGAGCATTTTGCATTAAAAAAAGAAAAAAAAAAAGGGAGAAAGTGAAAGAAACCAGAACTTTGGGCAGCTCCAGGCACAAGGAACTGACAGAACAGTGGGCAGGGAGGCTTTGGCAGCATTATAGGACAGAGAGAAGCAGGTCTCCATCTTGTGTGAGCAACCTTGCAAACGCAACAAGGGGCCTCCATCTCCCACCTAAGGTCAATGAAATGTAACCCCAACTGCCTGGGGCATGGCAGTTCCTTATGCTTCAGGTGAGCACCACGCATGGTGGCAATACTGCTAAGAAACCCTTCCCTGCAGAGCACTTCACAACAGGGGGCAGGCAGGGGAAGAAGGGGCAGATCACTGGAATATGGTGGAAAATGCCTCTTCAAATCTGCACTGTTCAAATGGCTCTTAGCTTATTCCAGCATTCTTTAACATGGTGCTCGCCAGATGTTTTGGATTGGAACTCCCATCTTCCCCAGCTGGCAAGACATTTGGGAAGTTGGAATAGTCTGACACATCTGGGGAGCACCAGGCTAGGAAAGCTGCTTTAGACAAAGAATACCAAACATGGAAGTCCATATTCTTTCCTTTAATTCACGAATTTAATTCTAAAGGCCAAGGTTAATCCACGGAGGGCAGATCAATCGGCTATTATCCATGACAGCTAAATGGACCCACATGTGAAAAGGACAATCCCCATTTTCAAGGAGTGCTTATGGGCTTGAATGGCTTGAGGGAATGAGGAAGACACAGGAAAGCCTTTAAATCTCTCCCACCATTCAGCTACTTAACAATTTTTTAAAAGCACAAACTGATCCTGGAATGACACAGTCTGTTTAGACACATTTTTATAGTCTTTGAATTCATAGTAGTTGGATGGTTCTATTTTGATCTTCATTTTCCTCTGTGCACAAAGCTCTTTAGTTAACCCACAGAACAAATTACTAAGGAGTCCACAGGCTTATCGGGAAAACCATCTCTAGAAGGACATCTGTGTTCTCCTGATGAAGCAAAAACAAGTCTTTGGCATCTGGAATACACACATTTACAGGCCCACATGCCACAGTAAAAGCAACCAGGGGTGCTCCAGTTGTTTTGACTTCCATCCATCCTAACTAGTGTAACCAATACTGATGCGAGTTGTAGGTTGTAACATCTGGAAGGCTGCAATTTGCCCATCCCTGCTTTAAAAGGGGAAAAAGCCCTCCCAAGAGTAAATATCTGAGAATACCTGCAGTTGTCTCATCTGGTTCAGCTGGAGGCGGAGATCCGATACATTGCGCTTTATGTCAAAAAGGCTGACTTGCATGGCTGTGGAGCCCACTGGGACAGAGGGGCTGGTGTTCATAGTAACAGCCTCAATGGCTGCTAATGAATTCTTCCCACCAGATACATGAGCAGATCCTGAAAACAAATGACAGCAAATTATTTAATTAAGAGTGAAGGTTCAGCCACCTTCTCTCTCTCTTTTTCTCTCTCTCCTGTTGCAATAAAAGCATTAAGGCGCCCACGGATCGCTTAATTTACTTGACAGTGTGAAAACAATATCACAAATTGTTCCATCATATCCTAGACTGCCTCCTCCTCAGTTCAGTGGTGATGACAAAGAATTGAATGGCGTGAGTGACTGCAGAAAGACAGCAATAATCAAGAGACCACTGCAGTTTATTGAGTACAAATTGATTGTCAAACAAGATTGGAGTTGTCTTTTATGTTCAGATAACTGACGGAAGCTGATCATCTGTCAGTTCAGTCCATGACACTCCAGTAAGCTCACCACTGTATCCAATATGAGAAATAAATGAGCCTGTGGTACCTTGTTCAGAATATGCTACAAGCAAACAGGAATACATGTAGGAAGACAAGCGAGGGAGTCAATCTTCACTTGGCAGGTAGCAATCAGTTGTTTCCTCAGTTACCTGACTGTAACAGCTATTTCCTTCCTGTTTGCATGGAGGGCTCACATGACTTTTGATGCAATAGCTTACCAATTCAAGGGCACAAAAAATGTGGTGGGAGCAGTGGGGTGTAATGGTTAGAGTAGCCTCCCCAAGCAGGTGTCCTCCAAGAATGGAGCTGATAGGAGTTGAACTACAACTCCCATAATTCCCAGGAAACACCAGCCCATTTAGACACCAGCCCATTTATTTAATTGGCCACAAAGAGATAGTTCTAGGCCAACTTTCCTTAACCTGGTATCTTCCAGCTGTGCTGGACAACTCCAATGGCCATGCTGGTTGAGGATGACAGGAATTGTATTCTGCCCAGCACATATGGAGGGGACCAGATGAGGGAAGCCTGTGTTGGAGTGTCAGATTAAGACTGGGTGAAGCCAAGGTCACTGCTCAGCCTTAAGTTTACTGGATGATCTTGATTCATTCTCTCCGTCTGTCTGTCTCTGTCTCTCTCACACACATGCACCCAGCTTCATCTCCTGGAGTCTTTGTTGGGAGGCTAAATGGATAGATGGTGGGTTGCTAAAGCTTCATGCTGTCTTTAGTGCCCAGGAAGAAGGGTGGGGAAGGAACATAAGAAACAGTGATGCCATCTTAAGCACTCTCCAGTGTGGAGAACTTGCTTGGTCCTCCTGAACAAGTAAGCTTGAGGGAAAATCCTGCTACCCAGTGAGCACACTAACAACAGCAGTGTAACTGTTTGTGCAAAGGTCAGCATGGACACTGCGGCACTCGTGGTACTGCATTAGCACAATGTTCACTACTTTCTGATGTACAGGAATGGCAAGGGATCAGAGTAACTGTTCTAACTGGCAAATACAATGATCCAGAGACTCTAAAAAACACCAGAACGCATCTAAATGACTGCTTCATCAATGACACAGGACCTGGATAAAAGTTTTGACAAAACAGCTGAGAAACAAGTCAGGTTTCTGTCTTGAATCGAGAGCTATCCACCTCAGCAGAGTGAAGGAGCCCGAAAGTTTAATGGACGGGAAGGAAAGACATGATCGCATTTAGAAACACTCTCAAACATAAACCACTACACTAAAGATACACCCTGCAAAAGCAGGTTTTGTTTAAATGCACCATTTATTGCATGTTTGCACTTACACTGATGTTTGTATCCCTGAGTGTCAATTTGCTCTGAAACTGAAATACGGCTGGTTGGGGCAGGCTGAGCACTCTTGTCTGGAACACTTGAAACCCTGTTTCATGGACACTGCAGGAGAAATCTTGCTTCAACCACCTTTCCTTCAGAGGCCAAATGCCAACTAGAGCTGCCCCCGCCTTTTCAGTTTTCAAATGAAGTGGGGATTTCCAAGGTGCAAAAAAACCCCCTTCACTCTGTAGGTTTTCCCTGCCATTCTGGCAAGGTGTCTATCTGCTGCTGCTCCAGCTCCAAGTTCCTCTTTTCCCTTCTAATTAAAGTGTGAGTTTTTCTAGATGAATCATACAAGTTCTCCCAGTTCATCAAGGGTCATGTGAAAAGTGAGATAACATTATAGTCCTATGAAGCCAATCAGATTTGGCTATTTGCTGTCTTCACAAACACAACCACTTCTGGAAATGCCAACATGTTCATTCTGAAAAGGTAAACACTTTCAATCTCTTCCCAAAGGAAAAGGAAGGGAGGACTTTAGATGCTACCAGAAATATTCTTGAAAAGTACACTGATAGCTTAGCTATAGTGATCCATTGTCTGGTTATTCCTCAACTTGACTACTGCAATGCATTATAAGTGGGGCTGCTTCAGAAAATTTCTGGGGAACTTCTGTTAATTCAGAATACAGCGCTGGCACGTGGACCTTCACAGAAGCCCAATGTAGCCATTTGTCTGCACTATGGAAAGGGCTAGAATGGATGTATGTGCGTGAACATACACAGCCTGTGCCCAAACTAACTATAAAAGTGGCAACCTAATACCAAGACCATCCCGTCACCAAAGTTTGGTTTCCTGCGCCTCATCTATTCCCCATTTTCAGCTCTGAAATTGGTGTTGCAAGTGTGTGTTTGTGTTTAAGGATAATCTTAAATTGCAGTGGTCCCTTGATTGGTGAAATTGTGCCTCTGTTTTGCAACCTGGACATGAGCCTTAGTGATGACCTTTAATGAAAGAATAATCTAAACACAGCAGTGAATAGTCATCAGCAAGGCTACTTTTTACTCCCTCACTTTGCAGTTGCTTTGAAATTTTAATGTCGGTGAGATCACAAATGGGCTGGGTACCAACCCCATGCAAAGTCCCTGCCTATTGCGCCACAGATGAGCTCTGGAAGGGCCTTCCATTCAGAAAGGGGAAATGAGGGCAGAGGAAACATCCCAGCCTGTTCCTCTCTGGCAGTCATATGTTTCTAGCTGGCATCTGCTCAGGACTAACTTTTCGAATAAAAAAGGAAGCAGCATCTTCCCAGGGGAGGAAAAGAAGCAAAGGAGGCAGCTTGGCAGATGTATGCCTCTTCACCGCCTACCAGAGCCTGCCTGCCTGCCTTACCCTCAGCAACCCCAGATTTAGAGAGAGCACCGCAAGAAAATGATGGGGCCAAATAGTGCCAGAGTACACAGCTAGGCCTACAGTCATCACGACAGGCCACAAAGTCTCACCGACTTCAGAAGCTAATTGCCTGCACATGGGACAAAAGTTCAGCCAGTTTTTCCTCGGAGGATTTATCTGGAGGAAAGACAGTTAAATCCCACATCTAGGCTCTATCCCTGATTAATGCAAATAAAAGCAGGAGGAGGAGCACTCAACTGGGATGATGCTAGTTCCACATTAAAGAGGTCTAAGTCTCCATCTGAGTCATCTGGATAAATGTGTAGTACGTGCCTTATCCTGGCCACAATTCTGCTCATGATCCTTTGTTCTTGGAGTGTTCTTCTCCAGCTGCAAGCTGATTCTGCACCTCACCCAGGGTCAACAGCAAGGGCACCTGCTGAGGCCCACACACCAGAAGGGCCCATGCCCCAGTCCTCCAGTGCAATCTGCTTGTTCACCAGACCCTCACTCTGGCCTGGATGATGATGGTTGTGTGAAGGAGGTGCAAGAGATGCTGCTGCTGAATTGCTTCCTGTCTCTCTGCTTGAAAAGCAAACCAATGGCGGCAGCAATGAAGACAACAGAGAGTGTCAGCAGGGCAAATGCTGGTGGAAAGGCAGGTTCGCTGTGAGTGGGGGACTTGGGACAGCCTTATATAAGGGTCCCCAAAACATGGGGCCAGCATGTCTCCATTCAGGGGGAAAGAACTGAGAGGCAAGCCAGTCGACAGATGTAACCAAACCAGACATGACAGCATTCAATCAAAAATAACTGCATTAATATTTAGGTCTTTATCAAAGTCAAGAGCAGATATAGACAACCACATCTGGAACTTAACACTTTGCATTACCCTACTCCCAGCCCCACTATTTGAACCTGGAGGAAAGCTCCCATTAGTACATGTAGGAGCTTTCTCCCCTCTGCACACAGCAGGTGTGGTGGAGCAAACCTGCTCCTTTGAAAGATGAGACCATGTGAGAATTTTGTTACAGTTCATTTCTGATAAGCTTTTACCCAGTTTACACCATCTGGAGTGAACATGGGCGTGGGTGCCATCTACGGTGAGATCGTATTTCTGAGCTACCAATGTTAGCTCAGAAAAATGGGTACTTTTGGAAAATGTGCACAGAAATGCTTTGGGGATTCCTATGACTGCTACATGCTGCCTAGAGGGGCATCAGATAGGCTGGGGTCCCAGTTCCAACCCTGGAAATGCACTGAGGTCAGAATGGGCTCTGAAAGTGCCTGCCCTCCACCCTTGCAGACAGGATGGTTCTTTCTGTGTAGGTTATGGCTGCAAAGTCACAAATGCAACTTTGGAAACAATGTTGGGGAATTTGTTCCAGGGGGCATGAAGTTCCACCACAATAGGAGGAATCCCAGTAGTGTCACAGCTCCTCCACCTTCTGAACAGGAGCAGAAGACACAGACAGGCAAAACTATGGACTGGATGACTGTAATCCTCCAAGTTATCAATGGGAGAGGAATGCACACATTCTAAAGATGTGCAAAGCTGAAGGGCACACCTGGAAAAACTATGCAGGAATATAAACATGGATTTTCATGCAAAAAGAAAAAAATGAAAGTGCCTTGCTCAAAGCCCTCCTCCCCCCCTCCCCCCCTCCCCCAGAGCCACCTCTGGATAGTTTGGCAGGCAGAAAAAGTGGTGGGTTTTGAATGCCTCCTGAAATGTATTTGCTAATGCAACTTTTCCTGGCTTGTAGCTTATTATCATGATGCTGCTTCATTTTGTCTCTTGTTTGTTTCTTTTGATCTTACCTTTGTTGGTGAAGGTTGAAATGTTTTGAGGTGGCATTATATATATCTTTAGTTAGCAAGTGAAAAGGTTCTGTCCTAGATCCTTCTGAATTTGTGAGCTTTCCATGTTAGGGAGGTTTTTTAAAAAAAAAATCAGGGAGCATATTTATACATGCAACACTCCACACATGCATTCTGCAGGAGCACAGCCGAAGAAAATACTGTGTGAGCTCGTTCTTTCCTTGGCACTAACTCACACCATATCCTTACCTATTGCCAAGTAATCCTTACTTCCCTTGCCTGAGAGTGTTCTGAAGCAGTTCCTCAGGGTTTAAGGGCGCAATCCTATGCACAGCTAGACAGAAAAAGTTCTACAACTCTGAGCATGCCCCAACCTAAACATGCATAGGATTGTGCCTTAGCTTTCCTTTGGTGAGAGCACATGAATATTGAAGTATTCACTTTTCAGTACTGGAGTATTTGCAAGCACACAAACAGAACCTACTGGAAGTAAGCTGAATCTGCACAAGTGCTAATCATGCTTCAGATTTTGAAAGTTTTAGGATTCCAAGGATATTTCAGTTTAGCAAAGTCCATCTCAATATCTTTCTTCTGTCTTTCTCTAAGTTCACACTGCAAAAATGCCTCCCAGCTATCTTTCAGCCCTACCTTGATATGGATCTCAAAATGCTAGAGCCAGCAAGGCGCATTCAGACGGTCAGTGTTAAATGGCCTCCCTTCATGCAACAGGTGCATTTGCACACTTACCAGAACAGACAGCTCATAACTCCATATGACAAAAAAGTCTTACCTAACTTCTCAGTGTTGCTTCTACTGGATACAGTTTTCACCATCTTCTCACTAAACAGAAGAAAAACGGGAGGGGAATTATGCAAATTTGTTGTCAGTTAAGTCAACTATCAATAAATCAACTATCATAAGCTTATAATCTAAATTATAAGATCTCATCTGCAAAACAGGTTGCATTTTGATTTAATCAGCTAGTAGATTCTAGGAACTCACTTTGACAGGTAAGTTTAAACAAGGTGTTCATCACAAATATATACATTTGGCTATATGACTAACTGTAACGCCACCAAGAAGAGTACAATAAATTCTCTACACAGTGCACGATCGTTTCAAAAACTGAAAAGATCTGGTTGTTAATTACTCCATTATGAGCGAAAATCCTGACCCAAACAAAGTCAATGAAAAGAATTCCAAACAGCATCAATGGGGTCAGCATTCTGCCCTGAGTATGAATATATCCCATGAATATTTTTCCCCTGTGGTGATGAATGAAATAATTAAAGAGAAACAGATTTAATGAATTCTTTTTTTACCTAGAAGCCTCTTTGTTATTACTTGTATTTGGCCCTTTTAAAAGCGCAGACTGAACAAGACCAGTTAAGCTGGCAATCTGTTTCTCCATGGCTTGCATCCTCTCTCTGTAAGACAAGAGAATTGTTTGTTAAAGCCAAATGTATTCACTTTAAAGACTTGTGTTTTCCAGCTGAATGGGGATAATGGGATTAGATCTCCTAGGCATTCCCTGGCATGTACCTGGCGACCAAGGCCAATCACATCCTTTTTAGAAAGCCAATCCAGTGTATGACTGTATCCACTAGAGATTACAACAGCTTTACAACAGACAAAGCTGCCTCATTATGACCCTCACCTGCTTGCTTGTGATCTAAGACAGAGGTGTCAAACCTTTTGCAGCCTGAAGACCAATTCAGTTTTGGAGAAATAAACCTTCATGTTGTAGCTTGAAGCCTTTACTCCCAGTAACTAAGCCTTACGGGCTACAGTTCTATCTGACCTAACATGGTGGTGGCATGGAAATGCCAGGATATTGCCAAATGGTCAGGGAAAAGGGAGTGAGGCACAGCAGAAAGCCAGAATGGTACCTCACACTCGCCAGCTTCAGCACACACAGTCTAAGCCTACCTCTGCTCCCTCCTGTGTTCTAGGCTGCCATACCCCTGCTGCAATGTACCTCATTCTCCTTTGGCACCAAAATCTTCTTCCCATCTTAATGCCTCACACCATTTCTCAGGCTTCTCCACTGCCTCCTTGAGATGCTGCACACTGGCTTCAAACTGATATTCTTCGCCCTCAAGGGCACCTTCTCCCCTGTCACTCCGACTCCAGTTCTCCACTCCATGGCACTGCCTCTGCTTCGGCCTTGCTTTGCTTCTTTTTGCTCATATGAAGCCATGCGGCAGTGTCCCCATGCCTCCTACAGTGCCACACTAGACAATTTCCCTTAAGACTTTCCCATTCATCTACCACTCCTCTGCTTCTCTTCCATGCTTGTGGTGTTTCCTTGGAGTCTTTTAAAGCTGAAAGCCCTTCACAGTGGGAGCCTCTTAGAAGAGCAGTGCAGATACAAGTGGCAGTAAACAGGCAAATCATGATTTTAAGACTTGGGGGGAAAAAGTGGAGGAAAAGTGCCGGGTGAATCAAAAAAGTGGCTGGGGGACAGATCCTTCACTTCAATTTCTAAAAATCCCTGGAAGAAGAAGAAAAAAAAGATTTCTTCCCCTTTAAAGTTCCATTTTCTTTTCCATACTTCTAGTGTTTCCTAAGACTCCATATCTTATTGCTTATAAAGGTTTCTGGATCAGGCCTGTTTACCGATTTAAACTAGAATTCTCAGTCGTTTCAGCTTTGCTAGGCTTTCTGCAAAGCTTAACAGTGACCCAGCCTGAAAAGCCACTTCTGCTCCAGCTAACTCCTGCCAAACCATTTCCTGAATGACCAAACATTATGCCTTCATCCCCCATCATCCCCGACACCAGCTTATGCCAGTTATGCCATCAGCCTCTGAACTCTCATCCCTCTGGCTGCCCATTCACATTCATCCAGGTTGGTGATAACTATCAGGATCTGCTTTACCCTTAATCACCTTTAACGCAGATGGGAGGGTTCAATTTCCTGCCATGAGAAAATGATCCCTCCCACCACATGGGTAGCCCATGCTGCTGTAGTGCTATTCATAAAGTGCACTCATTCTGTGGCTTAAAGCACAATGTTTTATTGCACAGCAAACGTGTACTGCAGTACAAAAGATCACACTGTGAAAAGTGCACTGAAATCATGCTGCTCATTTCTTGGTAGGGGGAACAGCAGGAGCTGCCCCTCATCAGCCACAGCAGGAATGACCAGGCAAGTTGGTGACACTCATCTTCTTGCTTCTGGATGCCTGAAATACTCTGCATTCGCATGTTGCACTCTGCGGACAGAATGCTTGAACCCAAAGGGCACATTACCTGAAAGATACACCTAGCAGCTAACCCGGCTTCCCTTTTATATGAAAATGTTGGCCCCACTGCCAGACCTGCCCCACCTGCAGTCCCAGTTCAGCCATCCAGGGTTTACCAGATGGCCACACGCCTTTCCCTGGGTCTCAACCACTCTTCCCCCTGGAGCCAAAGGATGCTTTAGTGCCTTGCCAGCTTTTGTGTAGTTTGTTTCCTTGACCCAAAGGGCTGGAAAGCCTCCCCTAAGACTTAGTTATAGGCAGTAAGACAGTTAAGCTAAAATATGCTGATATTTTTGGCTCTCCCTGTTTTGCCTTTAGCCCCACCCACCTCTAGAATTTAGCTCCTAAGAGGCTCAAGAAATTGAATTTGGCCCTCAGGCTGAAAGAGGCTTAAACCCAAGGCTGGAAGTCTAGCATGTGCAGTAGGGGGCCCTCAACTTTTTCCCTGCTGCAATCCTAGTCTGGATCCATTTACTAGCTAGATCTGTGACATAACATCTATGTTCACCCCAATGTACTGTCAGTTACTCTGGCTGCCTGCTATTTGTTGAGTGCATGAAGCTATGTTAGGCAGAGTGCCAGCAGCTTTCCAGGTCTCAAGCAGGGAAAGAGATTTCCCTGCCACCTACAGTCCTTCAATAAAGGTCCCAGAGTAAGAACCGCAGAGTTCAAATGGGATGGTGGTCACGGTGTTGGACTAGGACTATGGAGATCAAGTCCTGGCTCATCCTCACTAAACCGGGCATTACCTTTAGGTCAATCTACCACATGAGGTTGCTGTGAGGATAAATGGGAGGGAGAATTGAGTTCCTTAGAGAAAATACAGGATGGGAAGGGAATGGAATGGAATGGATGGATGGATGGGCTCCACTGTATAGCACTTCCTTAAAACCAGAGCCAGTGTTCACTGTGGCTGCTGGAGGGTCTCACAGGGGTGTCTCTTCCAGCTTTGCTTCCTGAGAAACTAGGAATGCCCAGGGACTGGATATGGTGCCTTCCACATGCAGGAGTCCTGCCTTCCCCAACTTGGTCGCCAACACTCACCATTGGTGACCACTGACCCTAGTGTTCAAGAATGATAGGAGCTGTAGTTCAAAACACCTGGCTGGATCAAGTTGGGGTAGACTGCTGGATATGAGCTCCCCTTTTCCTGAGTCAATTCAATATGCTGATTGTAAGAACTAAAGAAGAGCAGCCCTGCTGGATCAAATGCAGGGTTTGGCCTGTCCCCCACTTTGATCACACAGTGGCTGATCAGCTGCCCACAGGAAACCCCCAGCAGAGCCTTCCCAGGACTGGTGCACAGAGACACACTGCCTCCAACACTGGAGGGAGCACAGCCAGCAGGACGGGGAGCTATCGAGAGCCTCTGCGTCCCCCACGACTTTGTCCAGTCCTCCATTACAGCCATCCAACCGATGGGCATCACAGCCCTCCTAATCAATGCATCGGCAAGCACCTGCTCTTTCATGGGCTGCCTTCAAGATCTCTGTGCAATGTCCATGTAGCTACGAACCGAGACCCCAGCAGCGCTTGAAGCAAAGCCTTCTATGGAGTGTGCTTGCAAGAAGAGGGTTGCCCTAATCTATTCTCTCCCACTTTGTAGGGACAGGATGCTGTCGTGCTGCTGCTTGTGACTGTCTTCCAAGCAACCCTGGAGTTTGAGAGAGCGGTCAAGAGGAGCAAGGCAGTGACTGCTCTGAGGAGGCTTCTGCCTAGTGCCAAAGTGGAACAAGTCTTGGATCCTGTTGCAAGAGTCTCTTCTTTTGCTGAGTGCTACTGAAAACATGCCTGGTAACTGTCTTGGGCCCTTTGTCTGGAAGAAGCAGTACACATACGAGCCCGCGTTTCCCCACCCAGAGACTGATAACCAAGATAACCCCGAGCTCTGGGGCTTCTGGTGGCACTGGCCAATTTCTTTCTTTGCATCCTTTTGAGGCTTGGAGTGGAGGCAAGACTTTTCCTGATGTCTAACTAGCTAGGGGTCATTTGGAACAGGACATTAAACATTGCTAAATTGTTCTCCACCTCTCACTTTGAAATTATCCAAGTGCTGCTACTATGTTCTTTCCTTTCCCAGAGGCATCTTTTCCATGCTCATTAAAGAGGAGACACGTCATGCCTGATGCAGGCAGAAACTAGCATGTCAGTCATAAAATCCTCCATTCCAGTTTGCATGCTTCGTTAGCTGGTGTGTGCACAGACTGCATATAGGCAGATGAACGCATCTGAGGGAGCAGCAGCAGCTTGGAAAGCCAGCCCCCGCTCATGTGCCTTATTAAGGAAACATCCCAATTTATTTTTTACTAGAATAAAATCCCAAGTCAAGCTCTGTTACATACTCAGAGATCTTAGCTCAGGGATAGAGGATTGTATTTTGCAAGCAGACGTTCACATCAGAGATGAAACAGATCTGGCACGAGAGGAGGGCAGTTCAGAAATAAACTCTCCCAGTTTAGAAAAGCCAGCCCAATTACAAGTTGAACCAAATGCATCTCTTAAATTCACCTCAGCTCATCATGAATTCCTCTGGTGTCAGCCTTCTGTACCATTTTTTCTCTCTCCCTCCTCCTAATCCATACTTACCCTGAAAGTGCACCCCAGTTTCAGACTTCAGCATTTCTGATTTAGAGAGTTCTGATTTTGGGTAGTCTGCGGCCCAGAAAATTAAGTAAAGAATTATGCAATCAAATTCAAAATCATCATCCATACCTGCTATTATTTCAGGTATTGATTGCTGTTTTCTATCATCTACATACCTGTCATACTTGGCCTGACATTTTGTTGCTCGAGGAAGAGCAACAAGTGGGGCTATTCAAACCCCAAGGTGCAGTCAAGGCCTGCCCAATTAGGTTGACACCCAAGGCAGAAAATCCTAAAGGAGCCTCTCACCCTTACTGGCAATGACAAGACAATCATGGTAAATGAAATAACCATTTGCTACTGCCTGCCTCCCTCAGACAGAAGGGTAAGGGCCTGCATCAGACAGAAAATACTGAACATCGTATGTAGGTAGGTAGGTAGGTATGTATGTATAGCTTTTATTTTTCTCAGGATGGTTTACAACAAGCAAACCTTGTTACATAATTTTCTGTCTCAGGCAGGCCCACACTCTGATCAAAGTTAAGACCTGCCCTGGTAATTTCTCATAAGAGAGCTCTCTCTTCACCCCAAGTCCAT